AAATTGATAAGCTATTAACTCAGGGACACATAGAAAAATTGAAAGAGTGTTCGGATCGATATTTTGTTTCTCCGATCGTCATCACCGTGAAAAAAGACGGGTCCGTAAAATTAGCATTGGAATCACGAGAACTTAACAAACAAGTGCATAAAAACAAATATCAGATGCCAAATATAGAAGAACTTGTAGATACAATAGGACAACTTATATCCGAGAAAAAACAAGGGGAGGTGTACTTTACTACGATGGACCTAACGTACGCGTATGGGCAACTACCGCTTAGTGAAGAGACAAGCGTGCACTGTAATTTTTCTTTGGTGGGCGGACGGTCGACAGGAACTTACCGTTTCCGAACAGGGTTTTACGGGCTAACGTCAATGCCGGCAGAGTTCCAGCGAGTAATGGACTCAATCTTGAACGAATTCCCACAAGCGAACGCGTTCATTGATGACATTTTGGTTACAACCAAGGGAACGGAAGTAGAACATATCTCCTTGGTTGAAAAGATCCTCCGGAAACTAAACCACGAAAATATATCCTTGAAGTTACCTAAATGCGAGTTTGCGAAACGCGAATGCGAGTGGCTTGGCCATCGTATAACCGAAACGGGGGTCACGCCTCTTAAACGAAAAACATCGCCGATAGACGCACTAAAAGCTCCTAAAACAGTAACGCAACTAAAGTCATTTATGGGCTCAATCCACAGCTTGCATAAATATTTACCGGCGATAGCGGAGATGTCAGCTCCATTAAGGCCACTCCTCAGCAAGAAAAACGAGTATAACTGGACCGCGGAATGTGAAAATGCTTTCCAAAATAATAAAGTGGGGGTAGCGAACATCGTTGAATTAAAACACTTTGATATTCATAAGGACATTAGAGTTGTTTGCGATGCAAGTCACAACGGCCTTGGAGCGGTGTAAGAGCAATTGGGTACAGAAGGGTGGCGCCCTATATCTTTTGCATCACGATTCTTAAACGCAGCCGAGAAAAAATATTCCACCAACGAGCTGGAAATGCTGGCGGTGGTATGGGGGGCCGAGTATTTCAGAAATTACATCCTAGGAAGATCATTTACAGTCATTACCGATCATAAGGCTTTAATTTCATTACTTAACGGAAATAACAAGAAAAACAAAACACTTTTTTCAAGACTAACACGTTGGCTGGACAGGCTGATTCCTTTTGACTTTGTAATAGAACACAAACCGGGCGCCAAGATAGGATTGGCAGATTATTTGTCAAGGCATCCTAGCGAACCCCCTAAACCGATAAGTCAATATGATAATTTGTTCACCGTGGCAAAAATCGCTTCGATCAGAAAATCCCTTGGTTTTTCAAAGGAATTAAAACCCCTTGGTAAACGAAATTATCAAAATACTGAAGAAACTGGTTCTAAACAGTCTAAACGATTTTCATCCAATCACAAGCGAGAACGAATAACATGCATACAACCAGCGACGGTTGAGGGCGGAAAGTCATGCGTGAAGACAGCGACCAATAGGAAACGATCAATTTGCATATTGCGTAAATCAAAGAAATCCAAGGGACATTCAGTGTGCTCTATATATTGTTCCCTTGGAAGACGGTTAAATTTGCCTAAATCAAAACACTCAAACAAAATGGATAGCGACTCTAATTGTTCTTTCCCAGTATTTGAAATTGAAAATGTTGAAAATGTTACAATCGATTCCCAAACTAACAATCCGAATATACTACAACCTCAGATCAACTCTCCACTTAGACTAGACGAAAACTTATTGAGTAGCGATGAAATAACTATCATTAACCCTGAAATTATTGCAATTACTAAAAACACACGGGATTCAAAAGTTAAAACAGTACTTTCCATACCTTCGAAATTTCCAGGCGAGCTTTTTCCTACTGTTAATCCGAATCAGCAAATTATGTCCATCATTCCCCGTGATTGCAAGGTTATTAAGAAGTCTCAATCGTTACCAGAACTTTTTAATTTAGAATTTGTTGCCTCGAACATACCAGCGGATGTAAACTTGTTACGAGTGAAAGAAGCATTGGAGAAGAAGACTAACTTGAAGGAAGAACTCCTGAAGATTGGGAAATACTGGGCTCAATATGCTAACGATCTGTCGTTACGGGACGATTGTGTGTGGTTGGACGGACGATTGGTCATTTCTTTACCCTTACAAGTCCCAGTTGAATCACGGATACACTATTACCATCATGGTAAAAGAAACATGTTCGAAGCAGCTCGGGACGTCTGGTACCCTTATATGTACCGAAGTTTGGCAGCAAAGGCCACGTACTGTCAGCAATGCACGGAAGCGGGTAAGAACCTGAAACCGTTATTACCCAAGGGAGACATGGGAAAGGTCCCAGAACCAAGGGAACCCAATGAATGTTTACAGTTGGATTTCTGGGGGCCGATAAATTATTTGAATGAAACTAAGAAATATGTTTTGGTTGCTACGGACCGATTCTCAAGGTGGCCGTCAGCAATGGTTACTACTACTAATACGTCAGATAAGGTCTTAAAGTTCCTTGTTAAGTACATATCGCATCATGGAGTACCTCGGAAGATCCACGTTGATCAGGGATCATGTTTTACCTCTAATAAATTTAAAAGCTTCTGTAACGAGGAAGGCATCGAGCTAATGTACTCCCCAGTAAATGACCATCGAGGCACGGGGTCCGTTGAACGGACGATAGGAAGTTTGAAAAATTTTGTCTTAACATATGCGACAGAAAAAGAACATAAATCTCTAGAATCTATGGTCGATAAAGCACTAGGCGCTCTACGATTCTCCAAAAATGCAACTACTAAATTAACGCCTTTTGAAGCTCACCACGGCAGGGAGGCCAATACTGTTTTACGAAATCTAACGAAAAAACCAAGTTTGAAGAATTTGAATTGGAACAACGTCCGAAAACAAAAATGTTTGTGTTTAGACGAAAATGATCCTGAGTTGAGCAAAGTTGCATTCCCTCAGCATTCAAATTGGGAGGAGAGGTCGGATCTAACATACGCTCCAACCTTGCGAAGGGCCCCTATCACGCTGGATAGTGACCAACAAATGGACGCATGTCCAAGGGGGGAATCGGAAGTTGCCCCACACACCCAAGGGAGTGGAGACACTGGACCTAACATCCAGGGGAGTGGAAAAGGACGAAATCTATACCAGCGTACTACCAGCAAGACCCTAAATCGGTATAAATTACTAAAGTCAAATGTAATCTCTGAATCCGAACATACTTTTAAACTTAAAAACGGATCCGTTCTTAGGAAAAGTGCAGTGGCATCAAAACCGAAACATGACCTTCCCAAGAAACGGAAGCCGGCCACGCTCAAGGATATGCTAGCGAGCGCAAAAAGAGGGGCAGTAGTGAGCCCGAAATCAAAACGAGCTAAGACCACGCAGACAGTCCAATTAGCCACCTTCGAGTCCGACAGTTCGGATACGGAAGACAATCTGCCATTAAACATTCCGGTACGACTACCGGTAGAATTGCTAGCGAGGCGCGAGGCAATTGCAGCGGGACAAGGCCCAAGCGGCAGTACGACAGGAGTGGGAGGAGGAACGGGAGCTAAAGCTAAATCCAGAGTGACAAGAGCTAAGCGAGGAAAAGGGGGCCAAAGTAAACAATTGAAGGAAAGCCAGGAACGTCCAGCGTTAGCGGCGCGGGAGTGTCTTGTAAATAGCAGTCAGGAGGAGGAAGTTGAATCAGGAAGCCAAAGTGAAAGCTCGGGAACCAGGAGGAGTACTAGAACGAGAAAGCCAGTAGACAAAATGGGAGGAGTTATGATCGAAACCATCCAGGGGGCGGAACAACCAGGAACACATCCAGGGGGAGAAGGGAAATGAACTTATTTCACATTATTCGAAAACTCGTTAACCCAGGGAGAGGGATGGCCATAAAGCCTAAAACTCAAATTGTTAAAAACTGATAGTTGTTTGTTATATGATAGTTGAGGCGGCAGGTTGAAGATGTGGTTATTATACTTAAATTTAAATTACTATGTATTTAAATTTTACATCCATACGGAAATGTCAGGGGCTACAATATGTTCAGTTGTCAATCATCATCTTAGTGTCAATCATTCGAGTTGCTATTATTAGTTCCCAGACCTTAATCAAGTGTGAGACTGGTACCTGCCTGTCAATCAACTAAAAGCTGTCTAGCTGTTAAGTGTTGACCTCTAAGTTCACTCTCTTATTTATGCGAACTAGAATTCAGTCAATTAACTATTTAACAGCCATCTTTTTACAAACCCTTGTTACTTACAGCCACCAGAATATAGAAATCATTGTTTTACAGAAAATTTTTTTGCTTAACTAAAGTAAATCATAGTGTACCAAAAAGCACATTAGTCGACAAACTGCATAGTACTCGTAGTTTAAGAACTGATATGCAAGATCTTATAAGGCCTGTCTAGTTTTTTACTCTATCAAGTGAACAGTTCTGCTCATCATGATAGAGTAGAGTGACCTATTGGTGTTCTGCCAGCTCAAAGTTCAAATCTGGTCGAGCTAGAAGGCTAAAAAAACTAGAGCATCGATATGTTATACGTCGCTAGAAAACGATTGAAATTCTCTGATCTTCCATGTTAAAACGCATTGCGGAAAGTCAAACGTCAAAAACCATACTGCGAAACCAATTGTCATCTATCGGAGTGTTTGCTAGCTCAAAGAACCAACGGGAACCAAGAACGGAATCAAAAACCTAATTCTGCAGAAACTAAATCAACCAACTAATATCATTCCGCTGCCTGCGTGATACAAGCTTGACTTCAAGTATAAGGAATTTTCACCGACTAAAACTTACCGGATTTTGAACACTTTTTGGATCTAAAATTTTGTTTTCTCGTCGAAAAATTTGTTAATTTGTCCCCGAAAAATTTTCACTATTCAGTTTTTGAAAAATTTTCTTTTTGGTTCGTGAAAAGATGAGTTGTTACAACGAATGGCACGGGAGCACAACAGGGTGTGGCCTCTCGGCTCACGGATGTCACTTCTCTCCCCGCGTGTGCAATGTGCCCCCCTACGGGAGTGACGCTATGGACGGGTACAGACACTATGCTGGAGGTCACTTTGATAGGTAATAAATAAGTAATTTCAGAGTTTTCATTTTTGCATCAGACAAAACATGTTTTTTTTTACATACAGAATGAAAAAATTGCATGCTTTGAGGTTTCTAAACGAGAATTGTTTGAGTCTTCAACTTTGTATATCATGTTTATTTTTTACGACTTTTTTAAGTTTAAAAAGTTTCTAAACGAGACATTACGAAAGTTTTGAGAAATGTTAATTTCAATTATTTTCAATTACTTTCAATTAAAGCTTTAACTGTATCAGAGTTTTCTATTTATAGTTTTTTTGTTTTCCCAACAGATATTGCCCGGATTACTACTACACTGGATCTACTCTGATGCAACACAATCACAACACTTCATGTCATGGAGTGGGTTACTCGCACGGACACTCACACCACGGATTACTGCACCATCACAACTCACTAGGTTAAACTGAGAATACAAAATAATAATCAACTTAAAGTGATTGATTAGAACAACATAATAAAGTTCATTGTTCAAAGTTAGTAGCAATTTGTGTAGGGCTCGATCTTTGATTGTAATGAAGTGTCTGAAGATGTTTCAAAATTGAGAAGTAAGCAATAAGGTAAAGCATTTTGCAATTTTTGAACATTTTCTTTGTGACTTTTTCATGAAAAATTGCATGTGGCTATATTTCACATTTACAAAAGACATGGTGTCCTCATATTCATCAGAAATCAATGGTTGCATTGTAAAATTGTTTATACATATTGTTCGAACAAAGCAACAAAGTTTTACTACATCGTTACGAGGTCAATTTGTGAATTGTAATAATATATATTATATATTACTGAACTTGTGAATTGTATTAATATATAAAATATATTCGGATAACATATGGGGGAGGAGGGGCGGTAGAAGAGCCGTTAATTTCTGTGTGAGTTCTAGGCTGCCCAGAAGAAATCTGCCACAGTTCCTATTGTGGTGACTCACATCACATGAAGGCCGTCTGCAGGAGGCGTCCGAGGAACTACACCTTCCTCATCGGCATTCTCCAGAACATCCACGCCGAGTTTGGAAGTCTCCTATCCAGGTGTGGCTGCTAGATGTCTAAAGAAACTCTTCTTTTTATAAATGATTTCACTTGAATTTGTATCTTGGTATCCGAAACCTGTAATAAAAATATTTAAACATTCCAACTAATTTTTGCAAAAATTTAAGACGTTTTCTCCTGGTCCATCAAGTCAAGTTAACTACGAATCAAAAGTTCGCCAAAAAAATCAAGAAAAACCCAAGCAGTGGTAAAATTATTCATACAGTTTCAAGAAATCGTCTCAGAAAACACCGAAAATAGGTTTGCCGGTGAAAATCATTGATAAGCTAATGAGAAAAACTATGAAGAGCCTTGGATCCCAAATAAGTTTATAACATTTTTTCTGCAACTTGATCATTATCGAAAGTAGGTGCGGATCTAGGATTTTCTCGAGGGGGGAACGGATTTTCAAAAAATGTTGGAAATATTTGACGACCTTTTTTTTAAATCGACCAAATTGATTTTCCTAAATTACTATAAGCTTTCCTAAATCAAAATAAAGACCCCGTTTTGAGCAAACTTTTTACACCGCAGGCAAAATTTTTGAAAAAACTGGCCAAAAAGGCACTTTTAGGCACTTTTTGGCAAATTTTGACAAAAATGCGATTTTTTTTGGCTCGCGCTCCCCCTCAAAATTAGTATATTTTAGTGCCAAAGGCGCCTTTAGAAAAATTGACTCTTTTTCCTTTTTCCCCCACCTGACACGAGCTTCGTTTTTTTAGTGTAACGAGTGGTTTTACGAGGTTGAGTATGAAGACCAAATAAGTTTGTCGTGGCCTTATTAGTCGGTATGTAAATTTTCATAACAATCCGACAAAGGGGAAAAGTCAATTGGGGAAAAAGATCGATTAAACACAGCCGCTGACCTTTAGTATGAACTAATATGCTTGAAAATAAATTGGCTTCGAAACAAAAAATTTTTGACTTGAATAAAATTCCAATCGAAAAAAAAAACATTCCATTTCAGACAATTATCAGTGATTAACTTACGATACGGAGGGTACTAACTACTCTTTAGCGTTGATGAAAATCTTCAAAAAAACGGATGATTTTATAGAAGAAAAAAAAACACTAAGTCTGCTAATATCAGGCAAAACTATGTCTGAAAAATTCAAGCCGAAATAGCCAAACAAACAATCTATTAAACTTAATAAAACATGGAATGTCATTAAAATGTGATATTTTTAAGGGAAGAACCTTAGCCAATGGGTAAAAAAAGTTGACAACACCAGACCAGAACAGAAGCCCTTTAAGCTAAAAAAAAAAATTCAAAAATACAAAAAATAATTGAACGTCTTTGATTCCCTCTTCATCTGAAAACACACGAATACGTGTTTTTTCGGCTCTTTTCAACCCTTCCCCCCTAATTTGTAATTTTAAATGTGCAAATTAAGTCTGAAATAATGTCATTATAATCCATTATAGTTACAAATTCAGACCACAAAATCGATTATTTTGTCATTATAATTGATTTTTTTTCGTAAAAAAAAAATCCATTATTTCCACTATAATGGATTATAATCCATTTAAAATCGATTATACTTGATTATGACGCATTATAATCTTTAAAAAAATTTGCAAAATCATTTGCAAAACTTGCAACCTTTCTGTGTTACTCACGGCCTACTCGCAATCTGAACTTACTCAAATTAACCCACCTCACTTTGCCCCCATCCGCTTTTACCCACTCCAACCCCCCTCACTTAAACTCACAATTGCATATTTTTGAGCTCAAAATCTGGTTTGTTTTTACAATTTTTCTTGATTTGTTACATATGTTTTTGCACGAAATCTGATTTATAATAATGATTTTCTAGATTTTAGTTGCATATTTTTGAGCACAAAATCTGATTTATATTGGCCAATTTCTTCCTTCCTTAAACAGGTTTTTGCACAAGATTCGATTTACAATGTTCAATTTCTATGATTTCGTTGCATATCTTTAAGCTCAAAATCTGGTATATTTTGACAATTTTCTTGATTTTTTACATATGTAATTAACGAAATCTGATTTATAATGACGATTTTCTAGATTTTTGTTGCATATTTTTGAGCTCAAATTTTGATTTTTGGTGATCTTTTCCTCTATTTAAAACATTGGTTTTTGCCCAATCTTTGATTTACATAGATTTAATAATTTTATTGCATATTTTTGAGCTCGAAATCTGATTCATATTGATCATTTTTTATTCATTTCTTGACTTCTAGAACACCTGGTACGTGTCTTTTTATTTAAAATATCAAGGATAAAAAATTTCAATTGGTTTTCTATATAGCTTTTTTTTTGTCATGTTAGCAAAAAATCGATTTTAGTGTGTCGGAAATTCCATCGAAATTGATTTAAATCGAGTTTTAGACACTCAAATCGCACTAAAATTTTGAAGAAAAATCGATTTAAATCGAATTAAAATGTCTTTAAGTGAGATTCTAAATGATTTCAGTGAGATTCGGATGGATTTTAGTGAGTCGGAAAATCCATCGAAATCGATTTAAATCGATTTTTTAGACACTTAAATCGATCCAAAGTTTTGAAGAAAGATCAATTTAAATCAATTTAAAATGGCTTTAAGTGAGATTCTGATGAATCTTCCGAAATTCTGATGGATCTGAGTACGTAAAATGCACATTGTTGGATCGTTTTGAAATCGATTCAAAATCAATTTAAGATGATTCGAAACAATTTTTGTCAGTGCGGGGAACAAAGCAACAAAATTTTACTACATCATTACGAGGTCAATTTGTGAATTGTAAGCGGATCCCGCTATAAGACCGCTCTCTGTGATCTTTCTTTGAGTCTGTGTTTCTTCTGGTCATGCAAGCAAATTTCGAAATAGGGGCATTTTAAACTCAGACTTGCGCGAAATTTGTCTGTTAGTTGACTCTCCTGGGGGAAATCTATATGCTTGGGGGTATCTAAAGTTTACTGTAAAGCTATAATGGGAAAGACCTATATTGGGGGCTATAATTGGCTCTTATCCTTTTTTGCCCCACTTTTCAAAAATTCTGTTTTTATAGTTATTTTAGGTGGTATTATGGCTAAATGCGTGATGTCACGATGTTATTATATTCAATAAACCTGGTCACAAGTGTGATTACCATGCCAAAATCCTCAGCATTATGAACACGTTGAAATGGTTTTTCAAAACTGACTTCTGAATGTAGGGTGGGGGATTAGAAAGAACCCATCAATTCCCTTTGAAGCTATAATAGGATTTTTGTTACGCTGAGCCTGCTTCGAAAACTTTTTAAAAGTAATCAGAAGGTCAAAAGTATCAAAATAACCGAGGAATTGTCTAGATATGGAAGTGATAATGATAAAAAGGAGATGATAAGTGTTGATAACCTTACAATTAAACTCGATACGTGTAACGTTTCTTCAAAAAACAAAACACGCAACTCGACACGAAAAAATTTAATATACGTGAATCAGAAGACCAAATGTGTTCTTAATAGTCAAAATTTTTACCATGCAAAGTTTCATTACATTTTGACATCATAAAATTTGCATTTGGAAACTGAAATTCAAATGCGAGGTGTAGGGGAAAAGGGCTTTTTTCAAATTTTACCGGAAAAAGAGCCGATTTTTGATTCACTAAAGCTGATTTAAATTCAGAATTTTGCCCAAGATCTGATTTACAATGTTGATTTTCTATGATTTCATTGCATATTTTTGAGCTCAAAATCTGGTTTGTTTTGACATTTTTCTGGATTTGCTACATATGTTTTTGCACGAAATCTGATTTATAATGATAATTTTCTAGATTTTAGTTGCATATTTTTGAGCTGACATTTTAATTTTCAGCGACTTTTTCTCTATTTAATACATTGGTTTTCCCGCAATATCTGATTTACATTGATAGTTTTCAAATAATTTTATTGCATATTTTTGAGCTCAAAATCTGATTTATATTGGCCAATTTCTTCATTCGTTACACAGGTTTTTGCCTATGATTCGATTTACAATGTTCATTTTCTATGATTACGTTGCATATTTTTAAGTTCAAAATCTGGTTTATTTTGACAATTTTCTTGATTTTTTACATATGTTAATTAACGAAATCTGATTTATAATGACCATTTCTAGATTTTCGTTGCATATTTTTGAGCTCAAATTTTGATTTTTGGCGATCTTTTCCTCTATTTAAAACATTGGTTTTTGCCCAATATTTGATTTAGATTGATAGTTTTTATTATTTTCATTGCATATTTTTGAGCTCGAAATCTGATTCATATTGATCATTTTTTATTCATTTCTTGACTTCTAAAACATCTGGTACGTGTCTTTTTATTTAAAATATCAAGGATAAAAAATTTCATTTAGTTTTCTAAATAGCTTATTTTTTTGTCTTGTTAGCAAAAAGTCGATTTTAGTGTGTCGGAAATTCCATCGAAATTGATTTAAATCGAGTTTTAGACACTCAAATCGATCTAAAATTTTGAAGAAAAATCGATTTAATTCGAATTAAAATGGCTTTAAGTGAGATTCTAAATGATTTCAGTGAAATTCGGATGGATTTTAGTGAGTCAGAAATTCCATCGAAATCGATTTAAATCGATTTTTTAGACACTTAAATCGATTTAAAGTTTTGAAGAAGGATCGATTTAAATCGATTTAAAATGGCTTTAAGTGAGATTCTGATGAATCTTCCGAAATTCTGATGGATCTGAGTACGTAAAATGCACGTTGTTGGATCGGTTGGAAATCGATTTAAAATCAATTTAAAATGATCCGAAACTATTTTCGTCAGTGCGCGGAACAAAGCAACAAAATTTTACTACATCATTACGAGGTCAATTTGTGAATTGTAAGCGGATCCCGCTATAAGACCGCTCTCTTTGATCTTTCTTTGAGTCTGCGTTTCTTCTGGTCATGCAAGCAAATTTTGAAATAGGGGAATTTTAAACTCAGACTTACGCGAAATTTGTCTGTTAGTATATTCTCCTGGGGGAAATCTATAAGCTTGGGGGTATTTAAAGTTTACTGTAAAGCTATAATGGGAAAAACCTATATTGGGGGCTATAATTGGCTCTTATCTTTTTTTGCCCCACTTTTCAAAAATTCTGTCTTCATAGTTATTTTAGGTGTTATTATGGCTAA